TGAGATTTTTTAGGTCATCAAGTCCGTTTTTATGAAAAGATATTTTGTGAAGGGTCCGTTAACGGACCCAAATTTCTTCTAAACAGACCCCTGTCAAGTAAAGAGAAATCAACAAGAAAATTGATAGAAAATCAGAGAAAATAAAACTCGAAATTAACATTTTACCAGGAATAAACATTTCTCCAATTAAAATTGGAATTGAAACACAAAATTTTTCGAATCTCACAAAAATAAAAAGAATTAAAAACGGCAACAGATAAAAATATATGATTTACTGTGTTCTGTATAATAAATCAGAAAATTCAAATTGCTAAATTTCAAAATTATTAAGAAGTACGTCAACAGATGACGCTACTTAACAGGTAAAACTAGTTAGGGTCTCTCATCATTAGTTGACGTGTAGTACATAAGTATGTTTAAGCTCAATAGACATTTCCTTTTATTTCACGTCATTTTTAGCTTTGGAAAGAAATACGACTATGATTTCAAATCTAAATCTAAATATTTTTTTGAAACATTATGGTAGATATAATTGCTTTGTTTATCAAGAATAGATGTTAATAATGAAACATAAGTGCTATTACTTCTTTGATAAAGAGTACTGCTTTTGAAAAAGGACGTTAGGTGCAAATAATTTCAATAATATTTTTCTTTATGTGACGTTATGAAAATTTTATTCATCAAAAAAGTTGCCGTCATTGTTCTGATGATTGCTGTCAATTTTGTAGACTAAAAAGGTAAAAAATAGCGTCTGTTTTAAACTCTTCCGTAAGGTTAGAATGATTGTAAAAAATAAATAAATTATAGCAGGGATCTGTCCAGATATTCTGTGAAAGGTCATGTTTTTGTGAAATTGTGAAAAAATTACTCGCATTCTTTCAACCAGGGTCCTGCTTTTATGAATTTGTGCAAATAGGGTCCGGTTATTGCAAAAAACTTTTTCAAGGAGTTTTAAAATTGTAAATAGGTACAAGATTATGCTCAGCACTGTAAAATTATAATTAAAAAGAAAAAAAATTTCAAAAATAAACAGCAATTGCTGTTTCTTAATTAGCAATGCAACATATAAATATTTGGTATTTAACCAATACTACTGAACGCAGAATATTCATTTCGGACGAATAATGGAAGAATCGTCTGCCGAAGGCAAAACTTAATTTGTTTACATCCGTCTTTATTTTTTTTTCTGCCTTGGGAAGGGTTTATTCGATTAAAAAAACAATAATGAAGATAAAGAAATTTTTGAAGGGTCCGGTTAAAAATTAAATTATTTTGTGAAGGGTCCGTTTTTAAGTTAAATTATTTTGTGAAGGGTCCGTTAACGATCCAAATTTCTTCTAAACAGACCCCTGTATAGGTATAGTTAAAAGTGCACAAAAAAAATAAGATTTTTATCAACCAAATGCAAGCTATTTATTCAAATATGGTGTTGTATTTTTCACTTTTAGAAAATAAAGTTTTAAAAATATTTTTTTTTTTTCGAAACAAAAAACCACGTGACCCCTGGAACGTTAGTCTGTTGTACAATTAGTAGAACTATCTTGCTGTTTCTGTAAGGTCATCGGTAAATTCATAACTGTATAAATAAAGCTCCTTAACTTTATTTTATGTTTAAGTAAATTCAGTGACTCAATAAACGCGATTTTTGTTTTGAATTCTAAGTATTTTCCTCGTAGTTTTGCAACTGCAGTCTTCTCACGTACCCCTATCCATCGTCCAAAAATCTTCCTAATCATTATTCAGCTCCTTTCCCCCCTTTTTCCAGCAGAAAGCAGATTCTAAATAAAGCATCTCTCACCGAGAAACAAAGGACGGAACAATAGAAAAAAAATAAGCAAAAAACCCCGCCAAAATAAGGAAATTGTATAACGTTATTAAGCCTCCCTTTCTCCATCATTGACGTCACGTACGAAGGCCCACCACTTTCAATGAAACAAAAGTTTGGCGAGATTTATGAAGTTTTCAGCCGCCACTTTAATTTGGCGGGATTACAGTTCCTTTGACAGTAAATATCAATGAACTTCGATTTTCGGTTAAGCTACCTATCGAGGATATTGATGATTCTTTGCGCTACCACTTAAAAAAAAAGTGGCGTAAAAGAGAGCGTGGCGGCGAAAATTCGTTCGGTTACGGGGCTTATTATTTTAGCCATTACGTGCGAGAAATGGAAAGAATTTATGCATTATGGTTTGGCAACGGTGGGAGAAATGTTTTAGCCCGTGATGATACGAGGCTTTTAATATTCTGTCGTAAAAGTGAGTTTCCAATGGAAATTAGAATGGTAATGGCTCTTTTTGCGAAGTGACAGTAATGTTCCATTTTGTGTGATTTATGAGCGATCAGTGCTTTTTACGATCAGAAAAATAGATCGCATTTTTTTTGTTAAATAAAAGTTGTTGGATTGCATGCTATTTACTTTTCTTTCGGAATGTAATTTGCTTACGCTTTGAATTATTACAAGAAAATAATAAGCAAATAATTCAGCTTTTCCTTACAGATTGGTTTAAGCAAGGACATAATTCAAATTGTACTTCTTACTGTTTCAAAATAGCCGATTGGTTACCAACTGCATTATTTAGACATCAAATCTATACTTTATTGCAAAATCAGCTTTAAATTGCGTTATTACAGTAATGCGCAGTACGTCATTTTATAGTGTACTATATGAATGTATCAGTTTATTGTTTATAATAAGTTTGATACGTGTTGGTTTAAGTTTATTGCTTAATAAACCATTGATCCTAGCGTACGTTTTGGGCAGGCAAAATATATAGGGGAGTGAGGGGTTAAATTCAGGTAGCTAAGATTCGGAAGTCTGTTGGAGGTAAATTATTCGACCCGGAAACTGTCAGATTTAATCAAAATATTCCTTTTTTAGTAAATCATTCTTGAAAAAGTCAAAAATGCACTACTTTTTTTAAAAAATGATTTCTTTCTACAAAACGTCAAATAATCCGATCTTACTCTCCTAGAGGGGTAAGACTGGGTGCAAATGTTAACTCTATGGGAAATTTAGAAAAATCTAGAATTTCTGTGAAAAAGTAGCAATTTTTATGTTTTCATGAAGACAATATGAGAATAGTACGTAAGAACACTTTATCTGATGTGTGGTTGGTAGGGTTGGTTCGAATGCAACTTGCCACACGGACAAGCCTGCTTGGTGAAACCGAGCAAATTTAAGGCAGAGTGTGCGATTCTTATTTTTCAGTGGCGCCATCTATGGCCAAGAATTCGACTTCTGCCACATCATACGTGACACCTGTTTATAAGGCGGACCCATTTATACATCCATTCATTCATCCACAGATCGTAATTTTGACCGGAATGAGAGAACGATCGGTCTCCAATCCAGTACCCCCAGAAGTATTGATTTATTACGGGAACATGGAGGACTTAGCGACTCGACAGAATTTTAACGTGCATCAGTCACCAACTACACGGCCTACGGGGTTCGAATCCACGAACTCTCGGACATGGACCCCAGCCCTGTCTGATGTGTTATCTTGTTCATCGGAAGAAACATCAATGAAAGTTTTTGATGTTGTTGACGTAGGCCATTAAGACAACGAGGGAGCGATTGTTCTTGTTTTACAGTGGCGCCATCTATGACAAAAAATTCGATTTCTGCCACATCCATACGTCACACCGGCTTATAGGGCGGACCATTTATACATCCATTCATTCATCCACAGATCGTAATTTTGACCTGAACTTGAGAACGATCAATCTCCCATCCAGTACCTGCAGAGGTATAATTTGAGATGGGAACATGGAAGACTTTGTGAATCGACAGATTTAACTTGCACCAGTCGCCATTTACTACACAAGGTTTCTGATAAAACATTTGTTATATTAGTTCAACATGCACATCTCGTTTGTAACTCTTTTTTTGAAATTATATCTGTTTTCATGGGCTTTGGACAAATTCTGGTGCTTTTCATCATCACAATAT